ATTTCTACTAAAAACTTTCCTTGAATTTGATAGGGTCCCAACTTATGTTGGGTCTACTAATCAATTTTGAGGAATTAACTTTATAACATTACTGAGTTTTCGTATCTATTAACATGGTATATCTGTTTTTCCTTAAGCTTTCTCAGCAACAGTTTAATTTTCAGTTCCTTACACATTTTTTGATAAGCTTATTACTAGCCATGTTATGTTTCTGACGTTATAGCAAAAGACATTTTAAACAGTTTTAAATTATTCTTTTGAAATATATAAAAATATAGTAAAATTGCTTGTTTACTAGCAGGCTTTTGCTCTGTAGATATTCTAGGACGTTTTTGTATACTATCTTATCCTGTGTAACTAAAGACGGTTTTATATCTTTCTTTCCATAACTCACTGCTTTTTTTTCTTACCTTTACTGTATCACCCTTATTGCCAGTATAATGATAAAAAGAAGCCGTGAGATTAGTTACAACCGTTAAACTCTTTATCATGAGCATGGTGTCATCTACTGTTATCTTAAATAGTCTCCATCACATAGAAAAGATTGTTCTTTTAGTCCCAGTTTTCCAACAGTTTTGCCATTTAAATAATGAACAAGTCTCTCTTAATTAAAAATGAACAACTAAATTTTCTTTTCTGAAGACTAATAGTTTTACTGCCACTGAAAAATTTGCACTTAGGAAATAGTGCTATTGAAGTGTCTTGAGAGTTATTGGGTATTATTGGTGGTGTTGTAAATAGTCCCTTCAATTTTATAAGACACTTTATCCTTCTTCCTGAATATACTTCTACATTGTTCCAGTGGCTCCTCCTCAGCATTTATAAGACCGATTTGATACTGTCCTATTCTGTTCAGGCTGCTGTAACAATATGTTTGAATGAAGTGGCTTACAAACATAATTTTAATTTTATGAGCATAATTTTATTTCCCACACTTGGAGGCTGGTAGTCAAGATCATTTGGAGTCTGGCGATGTCTTATTTTCTGGCTTCACACTGTGTCCTTACCTGGCAGAAGAAACCAATGAGCCACCTCTGCCCTCCTTTATAGGGGTGCTAATGAAGCTGCACCCTAAAACCTAATCACCAAGGCTCCACCTCTTAACGCTATCATCTTAGGGGTGACGGTTTTGACATATGAATTGGTAGAGGGCAAGAATTCAGACCACAGAAGATTCCACTGGACAAATGATTGCCATGGTTTATAGGGTAGGAATGAAGCTGCATGACCAGGCCGAGCCTGAGTAGAGATTCTTCTCTGTTTTATCTTGTTCCATCTTTTCCATTTCACACTGTGTAGCCTCCGAAGTTTTGGAATAATTACTGTAAAATTATATAACATTCTTTTACTTGGAAAATTAAGAAGATAGGAGTAAATAGAAAACAGAATCCGGCAGTATAAATTAGATATGAATTAAGGTAAATGTGATGGGTACAGTCCTTAATGTCCATTTATTTCACAGTGAGACACTTTTAGGGTAATGTATGAGCTCACTGTAAGAATTTCTGAAAAACTGTTAGTTAAGGAATTACCTTTCACTGAATAACAAGTTTAGGCAGTTTTTTAAAAGAAGCTGGGTGTCTGGGAGAGCACGAGGTTCCATGAACGTGGCATGTGCAGAAAAGGGAGCTGAACCCCTAACAAGGACGGCAGCTTCAGGGAATCCTCTGCTGGACAACCATCCTCCAGAGGCTGATAGCAGAGGCCCCTGGGTCATGGACTGTGGCCAGAGGAAGGGTTGCAAAGACACTGAGTGCCCAGTACCCAACAAGAGCAGACCAGCCAGAGGCACTGGAGCCAGAAAAGGGCAGTGTGGATCATAAAGTCCCATGACTCAGCCTCAGTCTGGAAATGCAGTGTACCCATGGGCAGTACAAATAACAGCTTCAAGGGATTCTGCTTTTTAAAGTTTCTGAAGATTCTGCTTCCGTGGGAAGGTGAAAATAACTCTCTGGACAGCAGTGCAAAGCTCTTTAGGAGATGAGCAAATACGAGTCCTACATAGGCTGTCTTCTACTCGTGGATATAGGGCAGATATGAAGATGGTCTTTTACACAGTCAGAGCGATGCAACAGCGTGATACCAGCACAAAAGCAGGCATGTGGATCAATGGACAGAATTAAGGATGCAGAAATAACCCTAGACATCTTCAACCATCCGATGTTTGACCAAGTGGCCAAAAGCAGACTGTGGAGAAAAGATAGCCTCTATACCAAATGGTGCTGAAGAAACTGCTTATCCGCTTGTAGAAGAATGAATCTAGACCTATATTTCTAATCCTGTACTAACGTCAAACCAAATGGCTCAAAGACCTAGACATAAAAACAGGAACATTGAATTTACAGAGCATAAAAATAGGTGAAACTGTTCAAGACATAGGCACAGGCTAGGACTTTCTGAACAGAACCCCAATTGCATAATAATTAACACCAAGAATCAACAAACAACATGTATTTATTTTCATGTACAATAAGTACATGAAAAAAATTGAAAGCTGGGCACTTTTTAAGAACATTGATGGTAGTAGGACACTTTACATCTTTGCAGCATAGGGATTATATAAAATGTAAAAGCTCTGCACAGCAAAATATACAATGAACAGAATGGAAAGATAACCCACAGGAAAAGAAGAAAATTTTGCCAGCAATTCCTCCGACAGAAGACTAACATCTAGAATAAATAACTCAAAAATTAGGCTCCTAAAAACAGGCAACCTAAATAAATATGCTTCTTGAAAGAAATACAAGTGGCTCCTAAGTACATGAAGAAAGGTCCTGCCATCTTCAGCGGTTAGAGAAGTTCCAATCAAAACAACACTTGGGATTCCATCTTACTCCAGAACCAACAACTGTTATCAAGAACCCAAAACACAACAAAAACTGGCAAGACTGGTGGGGGGAGGCCTTCCATGTTCTTGGTGGGAACGTAAACTAATACAACCACTATGGAAATTCTCAAAAAAACTAAATATAGGAATTCCTTCTGACCTAGCTATCTCTTTTCTGGGTGTCTTTTTGAAAAAGTGAAAGATATCATATTTAGTGATGTGTGCACACTCAGGTTTGTAGGAGTGCAACTTATAATAGCTACATCTTGGAAGTAGCCTACATGCCCATCAATGGATGAAAACTAAAGAAAATGAGGTATATAGACACAACGGAGCACGAGTTGGCCATAAAGATGAGTTTGAGTCTTTGTAGGAAAATGGATGCTCCTCCAGTCCATAGTACTAAGTGACATGAATCAGACACAGGATGAATATTGCATGGTTTCTCTTATATGAGAAATCCAAAGTATAAAGAATTGAAAGAACAAAATAAGACATAGGTAATAGATGAAAACAGGGAGATGGACTTTGTGAAGCTACGAGGGGTATCTGGGGATGGGAGGCAACAGGAGAGAAGGGAGGGGAAGCAGCAATGCAAGGATTAAGATGTTACATGTGTGTGTACCAATTCCTCAGGTGAATGTATTTATTATGTGTTCCAAATACATACTAATAAAAACTTTAGAAAACAGGAGGGGTGTGACTGGTGCTGCTTCCTATAAAACTGGCTCAGGCATCAGCTCAGCAGAATCCAGGACCCTGCGCATAGTGAGGTGGTCATTTACAGATTTTAATCTTCTAAGTTCCTAGATGCCTGGCCATTGGTCATCTTCTACATTCCTTTTCATTATCAGATGATTTGGACAAACTGTCTGACATGTGCAAAGTCACCGACACCTGCTAGGTTAAGAAATGAACCGATTTTTTTTAAAGTAGGCATTCGGAAAGGTGATGCGAGTCACAGTGAACATTTGTGGAGCACATTTGTGGAGTTACTCAGTCAGTCAGTGCACCACTGCAGCTGGTGCCTTAATCTCTTACCTCCCAGTTGCTGGAGCCAGGATTCACCCCACTAGGGTGTGTCTGCCTGGGTGGACAGCAATGGCACCCCATCAGCTCCCATATGGTCCACCTGCCTGGCACCATGTTTATGCTCATAAACACTCTTTCCGCTGCCGCCAATGACTTTAAAGTGGGCTAATGCACAGTTCCCACAGAGGGATTCCATCTTGCCAGGGTGTATCATTCAGCCAGCCTGGAGGGGCTCCATGGGACTGCTCCTCTGTGAGATCCTGCTGCAGCCACAGGGAGCCTGAGTCAGGGTGTGGCCCAGGCATAGCTGTGTGTGTGTGTGTGTGTGTGTGTATGTGTGTGTACACAGATGGGCACAGATCGAACAAGGCTGAAACAAGGAGAAGCCACGTCACTGATATAGGGGAATGTTGGCTTTAACACACACAATCCATACCACTGGCGTCTTAACTGTCGTTGTTTTACTTGGTGTCATTGTCTTACGTGTTATGAGTAAATTTTGGAACCAATGTATGTCCCTGAATTACAGAGGTACTAGTTACCATTGTCATTTACTGATTTCTGTTGCCATGGCTTGCTGTAGACTCACTGCAGTGAGATGTGGTATTCCGGGCCAATGGCTTTGACGCAGAGAACCTTTCTGCTAAGCTGGAGGTCGGGGAATCCTACTTGGGAAAGTGGGTGTTTTTGCAGGCTCCCTCAAGGGGAGTGACTGCTGCTGAGGGTGCGGTGGGATGTGGGCAGGAGGCGGGCAGTGCAGAGTCCCTGGGCAGGGTTACTTTCATTTTCCGGGGCAAGGATGCTTCCCAAGCCCACCTCCCTCCTCCGCCAGTGCTGCTGTGGCGTGCCAAGTCAGAGTGCTGGGTCCGAGGTGGATCTCCTGTGCCAGGGGTGGCGTGCGCCACTTGTGAGTGTGCCCGTGAGCTCAGGAAGAGCCTGAGTCCCTCCCACGGGCACACTAACTGATAGGTGACACGGGTCCCACCACAGAGCAATGTCCCCGCGCCACTCAGCTTGCCAAGCCCGTGCTGTCCCTCAGCCCTCTTCCCCCAAGCGTGGCTACAGCTCCTTCCCGGCCCCGGCCCACCGTGTCAGTCCTGCCCCTAGTGCCCACTCAGCACCTTCACCTTTTCCTCTCCAGCATCCTCCTGTGACCAGGAGCACCAGTCTGCGCTCGAGGAGGCCAAGCAGCCCAAGAACGACAACGTGGTGATCCCCGAGTGCGCGCACGGCGGCCTCTACAAGCCGGTGCAGTGCCACCCATCCACAGGGTACTGCTGGTGTGTGCTGGTAGACACGGGACGCCCCATTCCTGGCACGTCCACCAGGTAATGCACAGCTGCGGGAAGATGGGGTGGGGGCTGGCGCGAGGACCAGAACGTGCCTGTTATGCCAGGGTGTAAGCCGTGTCCTCTATCCTCTGTGCCTGGGTGGCCTTTAAGGGCACATGACTTCAGTGTCCCAGAGCAGAGGAAAGTGTGACTGGAGGTGACCCGAGCTGACTGGGCTGCAGCAGAGGCGCACATAAGCCACACTTTTAGGCAGGGTTGGCCAATCCGACTCCATGACGTGGAGAGCACGGCCACCTCACGGCACATGCGCGTTGAGGAAGCTGGGGCTCTGAGTGCCGAGGTGGCTTCTACAGAGCACAGACGTTTGTGAGATGACCCTGACTTCCTCTCCAGTGCCTGGACACGAATGTTTTGACACTTCCTAAATTATTTCTTCCGATTTTCCAATATAACTGCCAGATATGTAGGCAGGAGAGCGGGTCTGGGTAGCCTCGGGCTCCTGGAGCTCGGGTAAGCAGCACACGCAGGCTCCCTGGTTTCACATCTCCAGACCCCCTTTCCCTGGGATGCTCACCTGGGAAGCCACAACGCACTTCTGCAAGGGGTGGGCGTGGCACAGGGTGTGGGAACAAGAACGTCCTGGGACAGAGGCAGCACTGCCTTCTAAGCGGCATCTCTGGGAACCAGCCCTTCTGCTACCCTGGCCTGTGCTCGTTGCTGTTAGTGCAGGTCGGGCGTCTGCTCACAGCACAGGCCTGCTGTGCTCGGCTGCCCGCTTCTCCGCAGCAGAGCTGAAGGGTTGCTGGCAGACGTGTTCTCAGGGAACGCCGTGTCCTCGGGGAAAAACAAGGAAGAGCCTGACGCTCAGAGCCAGACTCCTCACCCTGCATCCGAAGTGCTGGGATCAGCGTTTATAACGGTACCCTGAAGAACCTGTAAACACTTTCTAATGTGACTGACTCAGAACAGAAAAGCCCTCTCTCCCCCATCTACCTGATTTCACTCTGCACAGACCGTGCTATTTCCTACCAGAAGGGAGAGGCTCAGGCTCTCTTCTCCCCGGGTTTGCCTGTAGGAGAGAGGAAGTCACTCTGTCTCTCTCTCTCTCTCTCTCTCTCTCTCTCTCTCTTTCTCTCTCTCTCTCCCTCTCTCTGAATGAAGAGGTTTATTAGGCAGAACTTAAACTACACAAGTACACACTCAAAGAAAATAGAGTGCAGGCTCTCAAAGAGAGGTGTATTAGAGTCGAACTGGGAATATTTATGTATTTTGGGTAGTGGAAATTGATTGTATAGTTTTCAAAATAAGTGATCTAAGATGTTTTGCCTAAAACATTCATTGAAACCTTTGAATCTGTTTGTCCTAAGGCCTTGAATAAACAAGCAGGAATGCTAAGCTGAGGAAATGGAGCCCCCTAAGGTGCTGGCTGCATTCTTCCTTGTGTCTGTTCACTCATTCCCTCACTCAGCACAAATGCTGACGGTCCGTGGGGGTCCGGGCCATGGGACCTACCTGAGCAGACAGGTTTCCTCTCTCGCGCTTCTCCCTGCTGGGACAGTGGCTGGGCACAGGAAGTCCCTAACCTCGCCCGGGCTCAGGGTTTAGCAGCTCTCACTCTGAACAGATGAGAATGTCTGGGGATCCCACCAGTCCACAGACAGCCAGAATGAGCCTGTCGCCCTCCCTGCTCTGCCGCTGGCAGCTTCCCGGCTGGCTCAGGGCCGGTTCATGCCATGCCTTCTAGAAGCATCCTTTGCAACCATGGGGATATATTTTGGAAGAAGAAAGGCTTTCTCCTTTCAACAGAAAGGAAAATTCTCCCCACTGACTTGGTGAACCTCCCCTCTTTCTACTTGGTGGAAACATTGCTGTGCCCCTGACCCAGGCAGCCCCAGGCCACCAGGAAGGGGGAGGATGCTCCTCATGGAGCAGTCGGTTGGGCCTGGGGTCCAGTCTAAAAAGTCTAGGTTTTGTGTGAAAGAGAGAGGCCTCCGTGGTGTCTGCCGCCCTCAGGCCAGAAGATGGCAGATGCAAAGGTGGGGTGGCAGACAGCACAGCAGTGGGGTGCTGGCACTCGGGCTGGGCCCACAGACCTGGATTACAGGTGGAGGGTGGGAGTCTGAAGCCCTGGCAGGCTGAGCCTCGGGGAAGGGCCATAGACAGGATGCATTGTATCTGGAAAGCAAGGGAGCAGAGTGGAGGGCAGAGCCTTCTGTCGGCCTGCACCAGGGCCAGTGTGGGACCATCCAGGAGATGCGATGCTGAGACACTCCAGGCTCTCTCATTTCTTCATTTCTCTCCCAGCAAATGTGCATAGATAAGGCCTAGGGAGGAAATCGATCGGGTGATGACAAGTGATTTGGAGGGAAGTGAATGGTTCTCGGGGAGGGTCTGTGGGCTGCAGTTTGAGCACAACAGCCAGGACCCTTGCAGGCTGACTAGAGCGGAGGCCTGCAGAGCTGGGGAGCAGTGGGTAGAGAGCCTACTGGGGTGCATGATTCCCCGCAGCACAGCGGGGCCCAGCAGTTTCAACCATTAGCTCTGGAGCAGCTGTAGGTATTAAGTAGAGAACAAGAAGACTCCAGACAGGTGTGCACTGCAGGGACTGGGTTATGTCCCTACAAGCTCAGAGATGCAGCAAGCTCAGTTTCGGCTGATGCTATTTGGCTGATGCAATGTTGAAAAGGACAGAGTCTCTCAGTCGGCTCTGACATCGCCTTGTGTTGGCTTTGTCCTCAGGCAGGTTCTGTTCTTGGTCATAGGATGGCGATAGCGTATCTGACACCTCATCCACATGCCACAGTGCACCCAGGAACCTCCCTCACCAAATCTTTTCTAGAAGCCCCTGGCAGAGTCAATTAATAGATCACTGCCTGCCACTGGGCCATACACCCATGAGAAAGGGCGTGTTGTACGCTGACCTGAACACGTCCAGGAAGGCAGAGTGTTGGATGCTCAAGATCATCAGAGCATGAGGTAAGCTGCAGTCAACCTCCCCATCACCATTCCTGCCACCCTGGTAACTGGGTATCCTATCACAGAAAGCCCCTTGCACCGATGGATTAAAAAACCATTTCTCACCTACATGCCATTTACTCACTGATTTCCTGGAGTGAGGAGTCCAGGATGATACATTATGCTTGCGTTTACAGTTGGGTAGAGAGCACTAGTGTTCGCTCTCCTCACTCTCCACATAACCCAGTGGGGAAGCAAATTTAAAAATTCAATAGAAGTCAAAAGGGTTGCATACTGAGTGCTTTTTCATCTGTGAGCTGGCTCTGCTTCCTCACTTGCATGAAAAGGAAGTGAAAGACCCTCATTGGTTAGGCTGCAGGCAAGGTCATAAGTACTGGCACCCTACACCACCCAAGCGCAGAGCATTTTCCAGCTGGAGCATCTGGGTCTAGGCAGGAGGTGGGGCTAAAGCTCCTGTCCCTGCTGTTCCCCTCACGTCTATGCCAACATCCACATCTCAGCCACAGCTTGCCCTAGAGGAGGAGGGGAGGCACCCATGCAAGTCTGCAGTGCGAGGCCTGGTGGAGTCCAGGCTGGAAGGACGGGGTGGGTTTCAGCTTGGAAGGGGCTGCTGGTGTCAGCACGGAGCAGGTGGCTTACTGCTACTGGGAGTGCACACTTTCCTCTCCAGGACAGCAGATGCAGGCTTTGCCCCTGCCATGGGCCTGGGGGCTGTGCCTACCCTGCAAAGGGCAGCACCTGGGCCCGCCTCCAGAGCCCTGGCCCTCGTCTCAGTGCACACGGCACGTGGCTGGAAACTGCCCTTCTCCCTGGCTGTCAGCCTGGGCTCCGATGGCATCCAGACATTCAGGAGGAGTCCCTTGTGCCTTACACAAACACATTAGAATAAACGCTATTTAACACTGTGGTGATGGGTGTCAGAGCCAAGTTGAGCATTTTTAGGTAGGGATTACTTCTTGAGATTACTGTTCCTTATGCATTTAGCATCTTCTATCACTATTTAAAAGGAGCAGAATGCCCTCACTTAACTATACACATATGCATTTGTCTGTCAACATCAGTGGGAGAACTCTTAAGATGTCTCAGTCCCGAATTTGGAGCCAAACCCAAATGACCCTCCAGGGTGGCTACTCCCTAGTCAGGAAGATCTCGTTAGGGGATCTAGACTAGGTTAGAAATGACACCTCTCTCTTATCACCCATGTAACTAGTGGGACCTGAAGGGCCCCTGATACGCTGCAGAGTCCCGTGGGGCAGTTCTTGGTCTTAAGCATAGACCATCCCACACCCCATGTGGCCCTCTGATGACCTTAGACAGGCGCCCACTCCTGGTCAGGTGTTCCACCATGAGTCCACTCCTCAGCAAAACCAGGACACTCAGCCACATCTCATTTGCATCAGCCACATCTCACGGGCCCCCGGCTGCAAGAGGGTCCCTGTCCATTCTAATGCGGGTACAGTTCCCATCTATTCCAGCCCTGTAGACACTGGCCTGAAAGAAAGTTCTCTCCCCTCCACATGCCCATGTTTTCCTAATTTAACCTGTGCAGTAAAAGCACAGTCTAGTAACTCTTGGCAAGCAGGCTTCTTTTGCATATCCTGAGTGCTTTATTTTATTTTATGTTATTTTATGGTACTGGGATTGAACCCAGGGTCTTCACACTGAGCTATAGCTCCAGCCTCCCCCAACCCTCTTTTATTTTGAGACAGGATCCAATCACTAAGTTCCCCAGGTTGGGCTTCAATTTGCAGTCCTTCTGCCTCAGCCTCTCCGAGTGCTGTGATGATAGGTGCATGCCACCACACCTCTCTTCTGGGTGCATTTGGATTGCTTATGTTCAGGTTGTAGTCCCAGATGCTTCGCGATGAGCCCGCTGTGTCCAGACTGTACCTGAGTGTTCTGCGCAGTCCGATGCTGGACCCTCTGCCTTCCCAAAGAACCCAAGTTAATGGCTTTGGGGTACAATGTGAGCATTCGTTTGCTGGTGTGTCAGGGGCTTTGTAATTTCCACGACGGAGTTTTAGAAGGTCTTAAGAAGACTGTGAGTCTAGGAAAAGAGTTCTCTGCAGTCAGAGGTGCTATGCCGGTGGCAGGGAGGCGGGGAGGCGGGTGGAGGTGAGGGTACTGGCTCTCACCATGGGCTGAACTTGCGGCTGGGACTGGCCGGGGCCATCGGGGCCACCAGAAGAGAGAGGCCTTAGAGAGCGTCAACAGAGACCTTTCCGTTCCTGCTCCCTCCTGTATTTGGCAAACACCTAAACGATGAAACCTGGAGATCCGAGGTGGTGTCTACAGAGTGTGTGTGACTCCACGGCCCTTCGGACAGGAAGAAAGGAAAGAGAGCAGAGGAGAGGGCAAGTGTCACGGGACTTCGTGTGGCCTGGAAACGTGCTGGCCCCTGGGGGCCTCCGGGCTTGCTCCTGAGACAGCAGCCTCTGCGTCCTCCTGCCCTGACCTCAGTGCTGTGCCAGACCAGGTGACCTGGGCTCTGTGCCCTGTCCATCACTCGCCACATGGCCAGACCCGGCACTCAGAGGAGCGGCCTGGCAGGTTCAGTGGGTGAGGTGCTGGTAGGACCACTCCCACGGGGAAGATGGAGCTGCAGCCGCCGGGGCTGCCCAAGACCGCGCGGCATCCTGCGGCGTGGCCGGGGACAGGCTGGGGCGTGTTTCCCACAAACCCTGTGTCCTCCAGAGTGGGGCTGGCAGGGAACGCCCCGCCGCAGGGTCCCCGTCTCCTGGGAGGGAGCTCCCCGATTGAGCCCATCCGTCTAAAAAGCACTCTTGGAAGCTGGCTCTGCAGCGAGTGTCAGCACAGAAGCGGGGAGGACAGGGGCCCACGACTGGTGCCCGTGGGCGCCGCCCACTGTTTCGAGCGTGTCCTCGCCTGGCGGCCAAGACCTCTGCACTGCAGCCCTCCCCTCTGTCTCTGTGGCCAGCGGAGTGGCCGTGGCGAGGAGCTGTTGACTGGCATCGCGGCTGTGACAGGCTGCCCTCTGCGTGTGGAGCAGAGCCCTCAGGCAGGGGAGCCCCAGCCACCCAGGACTCGTGGTTTCACACACACAGGGTGGGGCCAGGTTGCTTTTTTTTTTTTTGGTTTTTCTCCGGTACCGGGAACCGAACTCACGACCTTGCGCTTGCCAGGCAGGCGCTTTGCCGCTGAGCTAAATCCCCAGCCCCTAGGTTGCTTTTCTTGTTTTTAAAACACTGGGACAGGGGCTGGGGATTTAGCTCAGCGGCAAAGCGCCTGCCTGGCAAGCGCAAGGTCGTGAGTTCGGTTCCCGGTACCGGAGAAAAACCAAAAAAAAAAAACAAAAAACAAACAAAAAAAAAATAAAACACTGGGACAAACTTTTGTAGTTTTATGAATATGATGAGAAAGGCATTGGTGCTTAAGTAGTGTAGCAGTGTCAAACTCTGGGCCTGAGGAGAACTTGCCTCCTTTCTGAGGGCGTGGTCCGATCCAGAGCAGTGCGTGCATGCGGCAGGGCTCACTTTTCATACGACTGAGGAGCGGAAAGGAGGGGTGGGTGTTGGCACCTGGGACCACCATCAAGACTTCAAGAACAGATCGAAGACAGACAGGCCAGGAGAGGAGCCACAGTATCTCCCTTCTGTCGCCTGTGAGAATGTTTCTTCCATTCACGGCGCACAGAGAGTGACAGACGGAACCGAACCATGGGTGCTGTGCCTGGAGGATCAGCCCGAGTCTGTGCCACAACCTGGTCTGCGAGTGCTTTGCAGATGCATAGGAAATGGAAGAAACCTGTCTCTGGGGCTCACACCAGCTGATTTCTCTCTTGTCCCCTGTCACCCCCAGGTACGAACAGCCAAAGTGTGACAACACAGCAAGGGCACACCCCACCAAAGCGCGGGACCTGTACAGGGGCCGGCAGCTGCAGGGTGAGTACTGCGGGTGGGTGGCCGGGTGTGAAGGTGTGGCAGGAGGAGGACTTTGCTTCTCGGGGGCTGGTGGAGGCCGGCCTCCTGCTGCTGCACAGGGCGACCTGCTCCGCGCAGACGCAGGCGCTCGTGAGTAAGGCATGGGCTGCTCCTGCAGTGCTGTCAGGCGTGGCTGGTGAAGTAGGAAAAGCCACCAAAGGCAAGGGCGAGATGAAGCACGTGAGAGCAGAAAGAGGCAGGGTTACTCTAGAGTCAGTGTCACCACAGTGGAGCTCTTTGGTGCTTCTGAAATACAGCACCAAAGGACCCTTCGTTTATTCTACATAAAAGAAAGCAGCAACGCCAGTGCCACCGCTGGCACTTTTAACACTGAGTTAACAGCCGGAGAAACTGCGGATTCATTGTAAGGAGCACGAACTCAGTCTTTGAATCGGTGAATTCAGCTGCAAAGGGTTATTTGAAATTTTCCAGGAAAAGTTTAAATGTATGATTAAAAAGGCTTTGGCTAACGGGTGCTTCATGGAAATTCTGTGGCATCGGAAAGCAGCCATGTGTTTGCGATCCACCGGGACGCTGCTAGGCCTGAGCCTTTCCCTGAAACAGTACCCTCCGGGACAGGTGAGCTCAGGCTGCAGACGCCTCAGGCCCACCACAGGCCCTGCTCAGAGCCTGCCATGGCCGCTGGTCAGAGGCAGAGCCGGCGTCAGGCGTGAGCCCAGTGCTGTCAGTAAAATGCTTCAAAGCCGCTTGCTCTTTGATCCTCTTTTTTTCTCTAAACATCTCCAGATGGTGTGTGTTTAGTTAAAGTCAAAGTCTCGGAGACCATGGAAATCATTCCAGTGTCCCCCATAGAGTGTACCTGTTTGATCCTAGCCTTACACAGTCTGGATAAATCTCCTTTAGAAACTTCTGTTACTTCTGATAGTACATGTCAACTTCTGGTTGACGTGTACTATCATTGATAGAAAGGCTTTTCAGTTTTAAAAAGTGAAGATGCGTTTCTGTTCAGAAACAAAGACAGAGAAGACCAGAATACCCACAAGAGATGCATTCTTCATTTATTCATTTCCTTATCTGCTCAACAGCACTGGGGATGAAAATACCTAATACTGAGGAAACGCAGATGTCAAGGCGCAGTAGGAAAGGAAGAAAATGAAGCTTTTTCTATCAGCACTGAGCAAAATCCATGGCATCCACGCCCTTCCCTGCCCAAAGGCTCTTGATGGGGGGTTTTCCTCATTCCCCAGCTCTGTGCCACCCCGGGAACGTCCTCCTGAGGCAGGCTCCAGGAACCCACTGTTGGCATTGTTTTTATCACACTCCTTTCCCATGTGGGAATGATTAACTTGCTCTCTGTGTCAGGAATCAGGCTTCTATCTGCATTTTGGAGGACACAGAGATGGGTAGGTAGAAAGATTCGTGGAGATGAGGGGAGCCCCCCAGCAGCCCCCAGACGGAGGCCTCAGTCTCTGTGATGCTGTAGTCTACCTGCCCTAAGTCACTGAATTCTGGTGTAATTTCTTACCTCAGAAGTCAGACTTCAGTATTCCTGGAAGATATGTTTCTGGAGAGGAAATAATGAACTCGGCCACGGCTGTTATGTGGAAAGCCCTCCCTGAGCATTCGCTGGTTTATGCTGGCCTTAATCATGTCACATAATCCTCACTCTGTCTTTTTGCCTCCAGTCCCCTTCCTTAAGGGTCTAGGACTTATTTTTCTCTTTTAATAGTGCAAGACTTCCTGGCTCCCAAGCCAGTACTTCATGTGGTTTTCACACATGTACGATGAAGGTAACTCACTATGGCCCAGCGAAGTTCCGCTCTCAGTTAGTCAAGAGCAGCTGCTACTTTCTCCTGTAGGAATGACTTCCTGTGGGAAGGCCCTCCTGTGGGAAGGTCTTCTAGAGGTACTGTGGCCAGGATTCTTGATTTGAAGATGGCAATGGTCTCTTGTCAGGTAGGAGTAGCTGGCCACATGGCTACAGTTGGTCTGTCTGAAGTCAGACACAACATAGGGAGTTGGTGCTGGCTTGGGACAAGGTCCGCATCAGAGCCATGGCAGTCATGCTCCTCGGTCACAGTGAGGGAGAGGGACCATCAGGTCATGTGGAGTCCACCTCCCACCTCCCACCTCACCTGACATGAAGCCCAGCTTCTATGGCTGGGGCAGTTCAGAAAATCCTGCAGTTCCAGCTGCCTGCCCACTTCTAAGATGTTTGGGAGTGTGGTATTCATAGCCGCTTACTCATTTTCATTATCTGGAGAGAGTCATCCTTATTAGGAAACAAGCCCAGGGAGTTTGCTGGAAAGTCTGAAATGAAGACTATTCTTCTGGAGGAGAAATTTTATTTCCAAAATAATGCAGCGCTTGGATAGGCGAACATGTGAAGTCACACAAGGCTGTTGTATCCTCTTAGAAGGCACAGCTTTGGTCTTAAGATTCTGTTCTGAGTTTCAGCTCTGAGGTTCTTTATTTTCCACACTGAGTTAATAATATTCCCTGCAAAGCTCATTTTATGTTTTCTGGGTGGCACTGGGGGTTAAACCCAGGGCCTTCACTCTGACTCACATCCCCTGCCCTTTCTGTTTATTTATTTATTTTTTTATTTTGAGACAGGGTGTTGCTAAGTCACTAAGCTGCCCAGGCTGGCCTCAAACTTGGGATCCTCCTACCTCAGCCTCTCTCGGCCCTGGGATTAGAGGCTTACCCCACCCCACAGGCTTTGCCTGGGAGTTTGCTGGCTACCAAATATTTATTCATACCACACATAAGATAATTAGTGTGTGTTCTGGCCCATGCCAATCAAAAGTAGATGGTAAGCAAATCTTCAGAGGCCAACACTTCTGCAAATGGAGCACAGATCAAGACCTGGCCGCACAGGTCATACACTGGAAACTGCACTTTGTTCCTCAGGTTTCCTTGCCGGGCTGTCCTGTTTCCTGAGAGAAGTTAGGAATTGAGCTAGTGGAGAGCCCAAGAAAAGAATCAACCGCACCTTCTCCTTCTGCAATGTACCTTGCTTTACTGTGGCCGTACCTCTCCCTGGCGCTGTCTAGATGGTATCATAAGCAGATACCTACCCCACACAGCCTCAGTCCTCTTCCTGTCCTCCTGTGCCTCCTCCTGGCTGAAGGGCCGCGTGCGCCTGTAGGGTAACCCTGTCCATCCTGGGCTCCCGTTCTCCCCAACTAGGCCCCCTTTCCTTGGTGTCCTGGCCTTTTGCGCTGTCCTTAGGCGTCAGGATCCTGGAGGCACCTTCCCAGCCACTGTCCACTAGTGTCCGTCCACGGGCCCCCCACAACCAGGGCTGGTGATGTCTTGTGAAGCCTTGGACTCGTGGCCTCTGCTCTGTGTCTGATGTGGCCCCTCAAAGGGAGAATGGAGGTTTCTAGCATCTCCACCACCTTCCTGGAGCTCCCCTGAGGCTGGGCATGGGAAGGGGCCTGCGTCCCTTTCCGAGCCACATGTGACTGTTCTGTATGGAGTGACACTGGCAGGTTTCGATTCACTGACATGTGTCTTAGATAAAAGGGAGTCATGTTGTGGGGGGCTAACTGGGACCTGGGATGGGGAAGCAGGGCACAGCCCACTGTTCCTTACACACAAGACCTTGTAAAGCTGACCCAGGAGGAAGGGGCAAGAGCATTTTTCTCCGAATGCATGCTGGCGGCCTCCAGAATCCAGCTACGTAAGCCCAGTGCTCACCTTGGAGGCCGCGGGAGCTCACTCTTTAGAACTTTTGTTTCTCTTTTCTTTATGGAATGTGTTATGCTTTTATTGCTCAGGCAGACCTGAGACTTTTGGGCTTAAAGTATCCACCTGCCTCAGCCTCTTGAGCAGATGGTGCATAGGCTGGCCCAGAACGCCTGGCTCACAGACGAGCCCTTTATGGAGGACAGAGGCAGGTACAAGACCAAGTCACACGAAGGTGCCCGGGCACCCACACTGGGATGGCACAGCCAGTGCTGACCCGTTTCCCATCACAGAGGAAACATCAGCCCGTGTGGAGCTGGCAGGAGCAACTCGCGCTGGAGACTATTCAAGGGAAGTCAAAATAATTTCTTTTTATGGCTTGGGTTTTATGAGTCCGCATAACATGCGCCGATCAGATGATTTTCATCTTTCCTAAGTAAATACGACTGTCTTGGCCTGCTCTCAGGTGCAGCATTAGTTGGACACACAGGCTGGCCTCCCCTCTCTGCGGGCCTTTGGCCCCACCTGCCCCACACGGGGGAAGCAGCTGCCATCAGAATTATATTATCAGGCTTTCATCACGGTGCGGCTCACTTCCGTCCTGGTGACGGTGAGATGGTAGAATAGGCCGAAAGCGTCCATGAGCAGATCAGTCTCAGGAGGAATCTCCTCCTTTCACGCTGTCCTCAGGTGGGCACATGCCATGATGGCCTTCTGCGGATGTCACCCTTCAGCTCAAGTCCCACGGGCAGGGAGGTGATGGGTGAGAGGCGTCTCAGGGTCCTGGGAAGCATGGGAGGGCTCATCCCCAGACCACAGCTGTGCGCTGTGTCTCCTCGTGGTGGAAGGAGGACATGTATCACAAACATGTACTTCCAAGTATGGTACACCCTTCTCTCCAGGGTGGTCGAACAGCTCTGTCCACCTGTCCTTGCAAAGTCTTGGGCCAGCGCCAGGGCCCCTCCCTAGCAGGCCCTCTGTGACAGAGTGAGGCCACAGTCAGAGCCCTGCGGCCTCCGGAGCAAGGACGCCCTCCCTCAGGTGACCACAGCATGACTGTGGTTTGGACTCTAACTCCCACCTCAGGCCTCCTCCTGGACTTGCCAGCTGTATTTTAACACCATTCTGAATTGCTGCAAAATCGACTATGAGGTCAGGTGTGGTGGCCCATGCCTGTAATCCCAGCACTTGGGAGGCTGAGGCAGGAGGATTGTTGTGGGTTTGAGACCAGCTTGGGCTGCAAAGTGAGCTCAAAGGCAGCCTGAACTGCATACCAAGACCTTGCCTCAAAAAGATGAAAAAGAAAT